CTCGCGCATACCCGCTGTAACTTCCAACATTCCAACTGGTAAACGCCTCACGGCGCGGCGATGGCGATTAATTGAGATGACATAGCCGCTTATTAGCATAGCGTCGCAATACGCTGCTCCTTCGCGCGACAAGTCGCTGTCCGCCTTTCGAATCCAATTACACAGTTGGATTTCGCGAGATTTTTTTTTTTTACGTCGTTGTATCATTAAATCTCGAGAGACTAGAATCGAGAGACTCCGTGTCGAATTCGCGGTTTGACCTGGAAATTATTTTTTATTACAGGACAAAATAAAATAGGTCGATGTCATATAAAGCCTATCGTTAAATTTCGCTTGAGAGGGATTTAACTGCTGCGGCTAACAATTGTCGGTTGTCACTTTATGTAATCTAACTTGACGCGGGCGTGATTACTTCATTCGGTACGGGGTTATGTATTTCATACGAATGTAAATTCTACGAATATGGAAATAAAATAAACAATAAAAAAGCTTTTTATGTGTTATTTTCCACTGATTGACATTTTATTTATTTATCTGCCGAGCGTATAGATAAAAACACACTCCTTTTCGTTTCAATTATAGAGTTTATATTATATGTAATAAGCACGTTTAAAAAGTTCAAATAAAAGTAATTAGAAAATGAACCGCTTTCGTATGTTACGAGGGAAATTCGATGTTCTCGATGTTACTCTTAGGTTATACAATAAGAAAATATCCTAATTTTAAATTTAAATGTGTATACGCAAGTGCGAATAAATCAGAAAAAATCTGACGCGTGCAACTTTCTATCACGCAAACATTTCCGAATTAATTTGTGCGAATAGAAAGTAATTTTTTTAAACCAATATATTTCTTCCGGAAATGAAATATATTTCTTCCAGAAATGAAAGGTTTTCTGGCCATTTCTAATAAAACGCTTATTTTTGCGCTGCTTGTGACACGCATTTCATTGATATAAAGTATACATCGACGACCATGGCGGTATAACTACTTGATATTGAATTACTCCCACGACTCGCAATTAGAATAATCAACGTTATTCCCGCCTTGGGAATAGAGGGACAAATGTCATATCTATAGTATATTCAGTCACGTCGCATATCCACCATCTCCGAGCCGAGGAACGATTAACGAAACAATAATGCGAGAGTCTCGTCATTGTGTACAATTACAAAGATAATTCTTTTTCTAATCCAGCTGAAAATATCCGATGAATTCAAATGAAATACAATGAATCCTTTGATCGTTGTGGCGAAAGGGAAAATTTAAATAAAACATATAATATATAGAAAATAATAAACAAATATATGAAATATATTACATTTAGCTAATCTCCCGAGATATAAAAGCAACGATCGGTGTTGAAAAAATGCGCTCCGCTCGGATGGATAAATCGGCGGGAGAATTAATCGGACGGATATCATCGATGAAAGACGATAAACTTGACGTGGTCGAAGGTGCGGCAGGTAGCGCGACGCGCAACCCGATGACGCTCGAATTCCAGAGAAAGTTAACCGCGATAACTCGGTCTGGGAGGAAGAGAGAAACGCGTGGCTACGCACACGTGCATTAAACGCCCGAGCGGGCGCAGGTGTGCGCGTTGCGCGGGTGTAAATGTCCCGGCCCCTGCGTGACGCGTTGAAACGTATTAATTTCAGCTGCAGCACGGCTCTCGTATGACCGACGGTGCTAATTTATCGCGCCTAACCTTCGCCGGGCAATTCGTTATGACCGGCGAAAATCTCGCATTACGATCAAGATCCATTATCGAGATACGACGGAAGGGCGCTGATTCACGCACGGCCGGCTGTCGCTTCCGACTATTTTTTACAGAGTTACGACTGCTCGGCCTCTCGGGGCTCTTGACGCGTGACGGATACGGAAAATTGCGCTTCAGTCGACCCAATCGGAAGAAAGTATCGCAAGAAACCGAATAGTTCTTGCTTCATACGCACACTTCGAGAAACCTCGACGCGCGAAACTGCCGACGTTTCTCAATACAAAGTTATGACGCTTTCTACATCGTTTTCCTCGAGCGATTTGCATATTCGTCCCGTACGTCGCGCGCGAAGGACATCTGAGAATATCCGCGTTTTTGTGCGCAATTTTTTGTCCCGGAATGGATACCGCTCAGCAAGTCATTGTCGACGAAGTTGTTCCTTCGCGAATAATAAGGGTATGACACAAAACAGAGGAGTGGAGGGGGGGGGGGGTTCATTCAGTTTGTCAATAAGACGACATTATGTCACAAGTAAGGAGCACAGGAATATCGCGAGATATTTCTGCTTTCTTCATCCTGCCTATACACAAACAGCCTCGAAATGCGAATAAATGAAACGTAAATAGTAACATTTCCTTTCATTCCGCCGGAAGGGAGTTTGGAAGTACTGAAATGTGGAAACGGCATGCGAGAAAGCGTCTCGAGAGCGCTACCCGTGCAATACGCGAGGCAAACATCGGTTTCACCGTGCCGGTGTATCTCTTTTAGCATATACATATATTTACGTGTCTGATGCATCGGACAATGTTCTTCGAGGAATGCAACCTCCACCCCGCCCCGAGTATACGAGCAGATGGTTCACGTACCAGGAAGAAGAATACGTGCACTTAGACAGCGAGCGAACGAGAAGAGGGGAGGAAAGAAGCGAGCGAGAGAGAGAGAGAGAGAGAGAGAGAGAGAGAAATTCGCGAGGGTTACGCACTGCAGACGTCTTGCTTTTGGTCTGAACGATCAATGAAGTTCGTCTTCGAAACGTTGCATTACTCGCGCGCATTAATCTCCACGGCTGAAGGTACGCGAAGGTACGCGAAGGTACGCGCGGTCCGATGTTTCCCATTATAGATACTTATCGTGTGCGAGAAAGCGCGCGCATTTCGCGCGAGGGAGAAATGTCCCTCTATACGACCTGAAATACACTCGGCCGTTTAATCGATTCGGCACATTAGCGGTACACGGTTCCGCCGCTATTAAATCAGCCGAGCGAAGAGAACGAGCGAGCGAGCGCGTGCGATTTTCATCGATCGCCGGAATTCCGCCGCGTGTCCGTCGGTCGATCTCGCAGCCGAGTTCGCCTCTGGCGAACGATTTCCCGACGGTGAACGACGATCGGCAGGAAATCGGTAGCGACCTAGTGTACGTGGCCGAGGCTAGATACAGTTTAGAAAGGCAAGTGATTCCTCCGTGCAAAAACGACCCCGCCCCGCCGTTCACTTTTCACGAGGAAACCAACTCCTCGGCCGCACCTCTCCCGTGCTCTTCTTGACTCTTTCAGCGCGGAGTTCGGACAAAAATCTCAAGTTTTCACGCGTCGCTCCTCCGTCGCGGCGTGATAAATATTTCCGGAGTCTCTGGAAATTTCTCAGCCGCGGAAGTCTTTTGAGATTTAGGCTATCGTTGTGGAAAAAATATTCATAATCAGACACGTTTCGTCGAGTTCTCACGGACTGTTCGAACTACGTCACAATTAGCTGCGAGTTGTTGCGTCGTGTGAGAGCGTAGACGAAACAGAATGAATTCGGAATTCAGAATCGCGGCTCCGGAGCCGTCAGTTCAGAACGCGCGCGCTTTAAGGGGGAAAGCTCCTTTATCGGGTCAAAAAAATCGATATTTTGGAAATAGTCTTAATCGATTGTTAAACTATTCAAGAATATTCCCTGAAAATTCAAGTCGATATCTGCAGTATTTACGAAGTTACGAAGTTAAAGCGGACGGGTCGGGTGACGAGTTCAGACGGGCCTAGCGGGCGGTCGCGTTTATGCCTGCGTTCGAAAAGTCCGTTGGTAGAAATTTTACCTGTCTTCCCTTTCAAACTTGTTTTGACCTACGATCAGTTCGCTTTCGTCTCTTGTCGAGTGAATACATTGCTAAATGCAGCATGACTTCGTATCCGAAAGCGACACACGAGCAGTCCAGACGTTCAACGAGGCCTCGAAAAAGGAAATCTCCTTGGAGTAAAGATGAAGAAAAAGCAGCCAAAGAAGAGGAAATTAGTAATACGAGTGCTTCGAGTACAAAACTAAGCAGTGCTAATGTTTTTGACGCGGAAGTGAATAGGGCTCGTGCGTATAAAATTATAGATTTTCTAAGCGTTTTTCAAACGCTCGCAATCGATTTAACAATCGATTAAGACTATTTCCAAAATATCGATTTTTTTGACCCGATAAAGGAGCTTTCCCCCTTAAGTCAGGCGCGACTTTATGGAGGTCCGTCGAAATTTATTGCTGGCCAAGCTGATACCGAAGCTGCTTTTCACGCGGATTCATTTGTTTACGAAGAGTCCTGACCTCGGCGTTAAATACATCCGTGTAATTATATACATATATATAACGAGCGTCATTTATCCAATGAAATACTTTTATCATCACTTGAGACTCCCGCCCTTCATTATTCGTGCGCCGCGATAATAATGCCGCATTGGAGATAATAATGTACTTTCCTTTGGAAATTATTAATTAACGCTAACCCGCGATCCTCGCTCCATCGTATATCCGTTTAATTAATTAGCGCTTGTCTTCTAATGAAAATTAATGCTATTAGTTTTGTTCAATATCTCCGCGGTTAAGTGTCTCGTTCCTCGGTTTTTAGAAAATTTTTCATTTTCACCACACTCAAGGCGCTTCGTCGCGCTTTTCGTATATTTATTTAATTCGGAGCATCTTTTTACGATTTGCATAAATAAGTGAATTTTAAAAGAATTCGTCCATCCCCTGATAAGTCTGTTAATTCCCGGGTCGCCATGATATTTTATTAATTCAGCTCACAGACCGAGCTTAGAAAAAGCGCTTCATTATGAGACATTAAATCTTTTTAGAAAGAAGGTACCCAACGATTATTTCTGTGAATTTTACATTTATTATGATAAAAGTGAATGATACAAAGAATCCTCCCCTGTATTCCGGTCCTATACCGGCTGACTGAGGATTAATTAATTAAACAAAGTACCACATTTACCTCAAAGCTCAAGCATCGTTTATTTTAAGCGTCCTTTTTTATTTCGCAGATCCGCCACGCGAGTCACAATGGATGTTGAGACCGGGGCCATTCTGGCCCTGCAGATATTGGCTCTGTGCTCGATAGTGGCGGCCCTGCTGGCCTATCTGATGCGACAATCCAGGAATGCCGCCGACGAGTACGAGTCGCGTAACAAACGTCATGTACTCGTTACCAGCTGTGATACATGCGTGGGCTTGCAGATCGCCCTTGCACTCTACGAAGCCGGTTACAAGGTAATAATGGCCGCGGGTATGCGTCTGCCATAAATTACCGGCGGCATAAACTTCGTACCCGTACGGTTCGCCCGTAATGCTAACCGCCGATATTCTCAGTTCGGTGAATATTCAAAATTGCGTGCTGCGAACACGAAGTAACGGCTCGCCCCGCTTTATTGCGTGGGAATCGTACTACATTTTTTGTTCTACCGGCCACGGGAAACGCGAATGAGCCACTATCGACAGATATCGCCGCGCGCATAGCAACGCATGCGGCCGCTGCATTTTTCCCCCCTTTTATTTTTTTCTGCCTTTTTTTTTTACGATTTTAAATAAAAACAACCGGAGCGCTCGGGTTCCGATCAGTTTCCGATCGGTCGCGACGCTAAACATTTTCCCGAACGACGGATCTGCGTCGGTGAATACGGATTACCACGGGAGAATCAATTCTTATCTTCTCTCCTGCACGGGGCGAGGAACTAATCCCGCGTACAGCCGCTAATTCTCCGGTAACACGGTGTTAAAATAGGATAGACGTCCGGCTCTCTTTGCACGTCCACTCTTACCGCGGTTTTGCGGACCTCCCGGCTGAAGTAAAGCCGCGCTGTGCAACGCGACGACAACCGTTGAAACGCAATATCCCGCGGCCTTACGTCAGAATCCCCATTATCCCTTCGAGCGTGCAACATATTTCAGATTGTCGGAGCCCGGGCTCCAAATTAGTTTCCTCGTGTCAAGGGAGCGGAACATCGGTGAGCCCTTAAATCAGTTCTGCCGACAGTCTCTCGACAGGTATTCACGTGTCCGACGGGTCTCGCCGCGAGTATATCGCGTCACCACTCAAGAGGCGCTTCGCCAAAGATTGTCTCTGAAAGATAGATACTCGCCAAAGTCAGATTCCGTCCCAGCCATAATTTACAGGACGCGGATCCTGCACGAGTGCTTCGACCCGAAGAGATGGTATTGCGTCTTCTCGCAGTTCTTTAACCCCTTGCGGCCGGTCCCGTGTCAATCCTGACATCGCAATTCATCCTGGTCGACTTTGGAAATTCATTTAACTTCAACATATTAACGCCGAACTTGTTTTAAATACACATCAAATGCGTTGCATTGCGCTAATTAAATGTTGAAGAAATGCAGGCTACACGACACTGTCGCGAGGTAATCGAGCTTCCACGAATAGGCTGAAAAGAAACGGCAAAAACAATTTCCGCGAGCCAGAAAGCGTTAAAAAGAAAACACCAAATTATGTGGAGCAACGACCTCCCCCCCCCTCCCCCTCCCCCCGTAATTTGTGCTCGTACGCTTGGAAATGTTACTCGACAGTTTAACGTAATCTTCTCTCTGCAGCGTTGAAACTAGTTTCATCAGCTGATAACGCGCGATACCACTTGACATTTTGACCGATCTTTAATACTGAAACACTGCCTAATCCCGTTAAATCAGCGATTTGCAATTCATCGGCTTGTTCGCGAGCTCCCTAAAAATTTTAATCAAGACCGAACGATAGAGTTTTCACGTTGTAAAAGGATAATATTAATGTAGGTCACCTGTATATATGGATTCCAATTATGGTTTGGTTGCCCCCCCCCCCCCCCATGTATTCGAAATTCGTGCTCCGGATTACCTTTTATATAGCAAGAGCCGCGCACATCAAACGACGGTTGCCGATTTACACGAGAGCCATCGAGCGGCTTAAGTGACTTTAACAGGTGATGATTCAAAGCAAAATTGAACGGAGAGGTGCTCGAAATTGTCATGTAAAATAACAGGCTATCAAAGGTGTCAAAGTTTCTTGGGGATTTATAAAACGGGCAACGAGCTCGCGATATATCGCGCCCCGATATCGATGTTTCGGAATAAAAATCCACGTTAATCGAGCAACAACAGTAATTTGTCAGCGGAGATTCGATTTATGCAATAGCATCGCTCGACGTTAAACATGCTTTCGTCACGCGTGATGCGGGTGGTTCTATTTTAATCGATCTCGGCTTCAGCGGCGCGTGGAATCCCCGCGGTGCTCTATCGTGGACATGTTTTTTTGCTCGTGTTAAGGGCAGAATTCAACTTTAGAAAAACAAAATAATTTGAGGTTTTTCATCGCATATTTGAGATACGGTTCAGCGATCGTGAACGAGCCGATGTGTCATTTGACATGACGTATCAGCGTCAAAGCGTAACACCATATCGAACGGTGTCGATACGGTGCGTGTAATGGAGTGGCACATGGAACGTGGGGTCTGCGGCGAATTCTCCAAAATACAGGTGTGACCGTCGTGTTCCTCCCGCGACAGGTGTTCGCGGGCCTGTTGGATCCGGCGGGCGGCTCGCCGTCGGTGAAAATCCTGAAGGCGGTCGAGCTGGAACGGCGGAAAGAGAGCGAGCCTGGCGATGCGAGCGACGGTAATCCGCAGCAGCCGGAAGGAGCGCGTGCCCGCGGCCAAATCGTGCCATTGGAGCTGGACCCGACGAGGGAGGACAGTTTGCGCGCCTGTTTGGACGCCGTCAGGGCGAAACTTCCTGCCGGCGAAGACGGTGAGATGATTTATTCAGCCCCCCCCCCCCCCACCCCTCCTCCCCGTTTTCCTCGCCTTCGCTTGGACAAAATTAATCGAGATAAATTAACCGTCGGATAAAATTAGTCGGGAGATAACTACGCGTCCCTTTCTAGACTGTGGCGCGCCGAGAGTAAGGGTAAATAGTGAAGTAGGGTAACTAACTTGAACTAATTAATCCATATGTAAACGGATGTGGATTTTAGCGGTGGTGCCAGCTTGAAAGATTAATGGGAGTCGCCGCCTATTTTCAAAAATTATTCGCTTAAGATAGTAACATCCGAGATAGTAAACCTTCTGAGAATAGTACTTAACTGTAGAAACGACAATTATATACTAAAATAATGGATTATTGATTTAAGATAGTTGTAGCACAAAATAAATTTCTCAAGGATTTGTTGAAACTTACATTACATATATATATGCATATACATATGACTTAATTACTGGGGCAATCATAATTAATCATTCGGAAGCTGAGATATTCGTGACTAAAGATGATGTTTTTTATACCCATTCCTTGAGATTAATGCCTTATTTTTAACTTCTATTTTTAATCTCCTTTAAACCACATTTAGGATTTTAATGAAAAACTATTCGCTTAAGATAGTAACATCCGAGATAGTAAACCTTTTGAGAATAGTACTTAACTGTAGAAACGACAATTATATACTAAAATAATGGATTATTGATTTAAGATAGTTGTAGCACAAAATAAATTTCTCAAGGATTTGTTGAAACTTACATTACATATATATATGCATATACATATGACTTAATTACTGGGGCAATCATAATTAATCATTCGGAAGCTGAGATATTCGTGACTAAAGATGATGTTTTTTATACCCATTCCTTGAGATTAATGCCTTATTTTTAACTTCTATTTTTAATCTCCTTTAAACCACATTTAGGATTTTAATGAAAAACTACTGTGATATTAAGGATTAATGTAAGACTAATACTAGAGACATTATATAAAAATGTCAGAATTATCGATCATTTTGTATCGAAAATATAACGGTATAAATTTCATAACTTATAATAATACTCGAAATAAATATACATATGCACACATTTAAACACTTAAATACTTCTTTCTATTATCTGTGTATCTCTGTTAGATCACTAATGCATAAAAATAACATAAAAAAAAAATAACAAATATTTTCGTATTGGCAATATTGTATATATGTGTTTACCTCAACTTCGTTTCAAATTAATATTTGTCATTTAAGCAGTAAAATAAATTTATAGGAACGTAATATTGCTTGATAAATATTAAATTTATGAGTGGTCACCGCTGAAAATATGGCACTCTACGATATATAACTATCTTAATAGTATATAATTTTGTCGTTTATATCACGGAAGTTACTTGCGTAATATCAAAATCTTCCAAATCAATATATTAAGTTGGTGCAAATGAAATGGCCGTTTTCAGTGTTTTGAATTTCTCACCCCTATAGATTACTTTCCTTTCATACAGAGGACGGTGTATATATACTGTGTGAAAAGTACATAATCCACATGTGATTTAGCGCACGTAACTTTATTTCTATATTGTACTGTTAGTCATAGAAGTTTGCATTAACGCCGTGATGGAAAATAGAGAAATTCATATAATTTACTTATACGAGTTCAAACTTGGTCATACTGCAGCCGAGGCAACGCGTAATATTCATACTGCATTTTGTGAAGGCACTGTAAGTGAAAGAACGACGAGGCGTTGATTTGAAAAATTTCGTTCTGGGGACGCAAACCTCGACAATTTGTCTCACGGACACGCACTTTCCGTCATTGATGGCGTTGTTTTGAAGAAGATGGTTGAAACAGAACCAAGGTTAACAGTCTGAAAAATTGTCAAAAGATTCGAAGTTGATCATTCAACTGTCGTCCGATATTTAAACAAGTTGGGAAAAGTGAAAAAGTTGGATAAATGGGTCCCCCATGAAATCATAGAGAGAGACAAATTGAGACGTTTGGAGATCTGCTGATTTCTTTGCGGTTGCGACAGAATACAGATGGAATTTTACCCAGGATTGTGACTTGCGATGAAAAATAGATTTCGTACGACAACCACCGACGTTCTGCGCAGTGGTTAGATGCGAATGAGGCTTCAAAATACATTCCAAAATCGAATTTTCACCCCAAGAAAATGATAGTGTCTGTATGGTGGTCTAATAAAGGTATCGTTCATTATTCATTTACCAAACAAGGTGAGGTTATAAATTCTGATAAGTACTGTCAGGAAATTACCACCATGCACTAAAAATTATGCGCTCAACAGCCAGCATTGGTCAACAGACACGGCATGTTGCTGTTGCACGATAACACTAAACCACACATTGCAAAACAAACCGTTCAAGAACTCGCCGAGTGAACATTGAAGTTCTCCTTCACCCTCCCTATTCTCTAGACATCTCACCAACAGATTATCATCTTTTCAAGCATCTGGATGCGTTTTTGGCGGGCAAAAATTTCAATGAAGAAAGAAGTGTGAAAAATGCATTTAAGCAGTTTATCGATTCACGCTCTCTAGATTTTTTTAGAAAGTGCACTGATGCATTTGGATCACGTTGGCAGAAGTGTATTGAAGTAGGTGGAAACTATTTTGATTAGTTATGTAAGTTTTAAATTTGAAAAATACAAGTTTCAACTTTACATTTATAAACGGCCATTTCATTTGCATCAACCTAATACAAAGATTAGATCGTAGTTTATCTCTCGGAATGAATCGATACCGAAGAAATCAAATATTACACGCCTGTATGAAGCGAGGTAGATTGGAAAGAGAATTTCCGAGCGTGCGAAAGCCGCGCAAGCTTTCCGAGGCTGCGTCTTCGAAAAGGCGGTAACTACATCGTTGCATCAAAGAGATATTAATCAGCGTTGGACCTCTACGTGCAAGCTATGTAGATGATCCCTTTGCATGCAATTTGTGTAGATATTCGTGCATTGTTTATGCAAACACCGCTCTTAATAGCTATGTTTTCTCTGTCTTCGTTTTGCTTTAGTTTATAATTATTTCGTCGACATTACGACGTTGTCCTGTTAAATCTCCGAGCAATTTTGACATCGGTATTAGCATCTGTCACTGTCGTAAATTAATTAATTTCCTTTTTGCTACACTGCCTAAAATATTTAGTTCGAAAATGATTTTTTAACACATCTTACACATGGAAAAACACCGAATCGAGGAATAACGCACGTACATTCGATTTTTATGTCATTTTTATAATTTACATTCATACGAAGAAATAGCGTAAGTGTTATGCAAACGTCAGACGGCGAAAGACTACGTGAATTTAATTTTCCAATTTATCGCACACTTAAATTTATTAGAAAAACATCTGAGCCATTTTATCAGCGGTGTAAATAAATGGACAAGATGAATGTCGTTTCTTTCTGCCTCTATGCTTTATCATGAATTATGATGAGGAGGCAATCCAGTGGAAAATTCAATATTACATTTTTATGCACAGGTTAAAATTATATTTCACTGCCTGAATAATTGGCTGAAAAATTCCATTGGATCTGCGTCCTTTAATGTATATAAATTTTGAAAACAGATTTTTCTTTAATCATATATTACTTCGCAAATATTCTAGTGCTTCATGACGACGTATTTTTAATTTAAAATTCTTCCAACTTCTTCCTTATTTTGTAAACAACAATATGAATCGCGATAACTAAGTACATATATTCGAAATGAAATGACTCTGCCGTCTTGTATCTGACGTATTGTGCGTACTGTAACAAGCTTCGGCCATTGTAGATTCGAGCAAGCCCAATATTTACGCGGTTACAGATATGCTGAAAGTTTTTAGGCATTCAATTTCACTTTTATATGCAGCTTCATTAGTTCTATTGTTGGTTGTTCGCAAAAACGCCGATGAACTTCACCCACCTGAGAAATCGCCTTGTGGTTGAATGAAATTCGGTATCGAATGGAAAATATTTCAAATACGGAATCAATGCCTGTTTTCATAATAATTCAGCTTGTTAGATTCGATAAAGAGCCCCGAAGCTTTATCGACATCGGTCGGGTGGATATTGGCGAAGCTATTACGTCTAAAAGAGGTGGAAGAAGATGGACGAATCGGCGCGATTTCGTCGAAAGGGACTGAAAAACACGGGCGAGAAAAAAATTACTCGAGACCTTAGTGAATTTTTAACAACTTCTTCGACGACGAGGCCGGCGAGATTTTTACTCTCTCAAGCGAGCGTTTACATTCGCGCAGATTTGTTGTGCGATACGCTCGCGCGATATCCAATGTATAATACAATGAAGTTCGCGGTAATGGGAAGACACGAAGAAATAACACACTTCCATCGTGCACCGAGTAAATAAGCACGAACGTCATATTTTTAGATTCCGACTATTCGTTACATCCGCGAGCTGTCGGGCGAGTGCGAGAATACATAGCGAGAAATGGAAAGGCGATGCTGAATATATTTATGCGACGTTGAGTTAGCGCAGCCATTAGACGGAAATGCATTTTTATTTTATCAGTTGTACCTCCGACCTTGAAAGCGCGTGACATCGAACGCTGGATATCACTGGGAAACCGTAATTACAGCAATCTCGCGCAACATTTACTCGCGATTGCTCGCTACTCGCAAACACGATGGCGTTCTCATCAGCGCGAAATCAATACGGGCGAAATTCAAGTTCGTTAAAAGTAAACTTCCATCTATCTCTTTACCGTGCCGCCCGAGAAGACGCGCGCGCAATTGCTCTAAATACGCTAAAACGTTGAACTTCGCTTAATTGCAGGTCTCTGGGCAGTCGTGCATACCGGCGGCTTGGTTTTGCCCGGCGTTATAGAGAAGCAGACCAGTTCGATGTGGGAATCCATGTTGCGTCATAATTTGGTAGCCCCGCTGAGAACAGCCCGAGTATTCATCCCTCTTTTGCGTATTAAAAGAGGTTGGTTGAAAATATTTATCGAAAAGTTGCGACAGAAGAGAAATTATCATTTGTCATAGTTTAAGAGATTGAAAGTTTCCCCGCTCGTGCGAAAGAAGATGATTCCTTTCCGGAAAACAGAAAATAGATTTTGTCGAATGAAATACAATCAAGATATTTTATAATCGATGTGACAAGTTAAGGTTTTAGCATAAACGTCGAATTATGCGTATAGTCGTGTTGATTCCTAATGCAGTTGAGAATTGCAATTAATTAATATTAATGTGACTGCATCTCTCCCTACCAAGGATTGAGATTTATCATTAAAGACACAAAGATCAGAAAAGTAACGCAAAAGATATCTCAATTCCCATACGTATTTCTTACATCATATGAGGCTTATTTTAAATTAATATTTCATATGTTATTATTATCATATGCAATATATTTTAATACAATATAATACATAATATTATAATATATATAATACGTATTATAATATATACCAACATGTGAAATATATTTTGATCGACGAGGTCGATATAATAATATTCTTTAGAATACAACACCGTTGATAGAGAAACTGAACGTTTTCACAGCGGGTCGTTTGCACGAAAATAAATCGAGATATCTCTAGCGAGCGAGGTTAATGAGAAATTCGCTCGGTACCTCGAGAAATTTAGTTGCTCCTTTGGAAGATGCGGTAACGCGCAGCAGCGCGATTTATGTCTGGCACAAAGTAAAGCATTCGACGGTGTAGCGGGACTGATTATTCGCCGCCAGCAAAACTACTCATTCTTTAAGCGGCTCATTGAAAATGTTCCCAAGGCCGCATTGTCCTTTTGGGTGACTCCGAGACGAGCTACGGCAGCAAAGCGGGCTCCGGACTGGTGGCGTTCAGCGCCTCCCGAAAAGCCGTGGAAGGTGCCGCCGAGGCGTTAAAAAGCGAATTACATTCCTCGGGTGTCGACGTCGTGCTTTTGAAACCACCGCCTGTGAATCCCCTCGTTCTTTATGCATCGCCCGTTCTCAAGACGTAAGACCCTACCACCAAGTATCAGTTTATGACGGGCTTGTTTGTTTGTGCACTAACAAAGGCGTTAAGTCGAGAACAGGCGTCGCGCGCCCGATTACTACCAAAAGTTTTCCAGCCGCTTCACTACCGTTTCGGAACGCGCTCTCTCGCGCGATTCCCGTTAGTGGAATTAATTCCAATTTTAGATATCGCGTCATTACGCGGGCCGGCTTATTTCATAACTGTTCCATTCCCGGAAACATACGCGGAAAAAAATTATTTTGCTGTTGTAACGGAACCATTGTTGCCACTTGTTACGATAGCAATAAAACTTAGTTGGCGCAAGCAAATTAGCGGATTATTCATAATTAGAGCAGAAACAGTTTTGCTTTGCCAGGACAGAAAATATTCTACCGAGTGAATTTGTCCTTGAAACGCATTAATTTGCTGTTAGAACAAAATAGCGTCCTCGTATATTTACTAATTTGTTCTTACAGCAAGATAATCTGTAGATTCAACAAATAGCAAATTAATATTCTTAACAAGTCGTTTTGCTGCCCATGTAATAACTGATTTGACAGATTCTTTGGCGACAACATAAAGTTTGCTGTATTTTTCTCCGTGTAATAATGATAAACGTGCAATAATAATTTCAAAGTAAAAGTGAAATAAGCGTAATAACGAAAGGAGGGTGAGAGTCTGGGTCGCGTGCTTAACACATAGATAATACTAAAAGTGCAGTTGAATGCCGAGCAGCGCCATATATGTAGATTGTTTTACATTATCGGCGTTAGGCCGCTCGTCGGATGATTTGCTTGTTATCAGCAGTGTTGAATTATTTGCAGAATGGACGTGGAGTCGGGCGTAACGGCCGCGGAAGGGACGTGGACCGCGCCATTATCGATTCATTCTGTGCAGAACGCGCTCATTCCCGCGATCACAACGTCATGCCCCCTGGACGCTTACGACATGTCAGTCAAGCCAAGGATCTTCTGCCGATAATTTCATCTCTGGTTCGCGCGTGAATGGATAAAAATGTGCAAGATGTAGCGCCGTTCGCGTGCGAGCTCCTCGAGCCGATGCGACACGTGGTAAACGGGGACAATGGAACACGGGAGATATGGTGTACGCGTATTGCGACGTCACTTACGTTGACATGTCATCCGGTACGCCCTAAGGCGTCATAATCGGGATTCTTTTCTACGCGGCTTCGCGGCAGGCAGTGCTTTCTGCGTGAACGAATGTTGTCATCCTTCCATGCGCTTGTCCCCGAGTGATATCGGCTTTGAATTCTCTCGCTTTTATTCCTTATTTTCCGTCTACTCTTTGTTATAATATTTTCCTGCAACATCTCATATCGTTTAGATGAGATGTTTAGTAGAACAGCCAGTAATCTTCATTAACCCATGTCGCAGGTTAGTACTTGGAAAGTGTCGTGTATCCTATCCTTTCTCCAGTTTAATGCGACTTATGCATGTACAAACGACATCGGTTCAATAAGCAGCCGTCATCTCATATATTTTGAAACTATTTTGATAGTTTTTTCTTTTTTTTTATGACGATGTATTTGATGGTGTTGCAATTTTACGAAAATCGTCTATAAGAGAATAAAATGGAAAATGTTATCACGCATAGAGAAAGAGCTTTGATGGAGATGTATGTAAAATCGGAAATTTTATTCCTTTATCAATGTATAAATATGTAAGATCTAAATGATCTAAATGTGAAGATCTATAATATATACAGTTACAAATATGTCTGTACAATACTTTATGAAAGTCGCTTTTGTATATAAAACATAAATGCAATGCGATATTTTTGCAAATGAATTAATTTCTATGGAAGTAGTAGTTTTAATAAGAATTATTATATGTACTATATGTACGTAATATATGTACGAGAAACTGTTTTATTGAATTGTATTAAAAAATAATGTGTATACAATACGTTCTCCGCGATTGCATGTAACACCGACAGATTTTTATGTACATATTTTATCGAGATAGGAAGAATATATACGAAATAATATAGAATAATTTTATAATAATATTCTATTCTCCTAAAAAATTTATTTAATTTGTAATTCTATTCTCCTCATAAATTTATTTAATTGTCTGTTGGTAATGGGAATATTTAAGATATGATTGTAACCAAAGCGCTCGTGTTACTTCTAGTATAAAAATAATCATTTTTACATGGCGATTTTAAGTTATTTCCTACATAAAACCTGTTGATTTTTACAAGAAAATTGTATAACTGGCAAACGCGAATTACTGTTTAATTATTCATTATATTTCGTTAAACGCTAGTTATTAACAGTTTTCAAATTGAAGACTCAACGAGACGAAAGCGATGTGTACAGTTTATCGTAGAACCTCCTGATTGTATCCCGACTGTATATGCATTTTGTACGAATAATATTATGTTTTTGTAATTTTCAACACAGAACGCCTTTTATATAAACACATACGCATCGAACATCCGCGTGACGTACTTGATTCTTGCCAAGTGCACAACCGCATACTTGACTTCGATTGCACGAGTCGTGACGGTTGAATTTCTTGTTGCATTTAATGTGATCCGTATGATCCGTGCATTTTGCAGATGTTAGCTGATTTTATAATCTGCTCTCCACGGTCGTAATTATTCCGCTCGCGATACACAACTGGTAGTAATTAGAAACTGCATATATTACCTTTCGCGTCGCGCTGGTAGTAATTTCCATCGCGAGTTTCACGGCTAACTCACCAGACCGCATCGTGAATAATTAATTTGTATGTAACTTGGTGCGCAATGCGAATAATAAAATTTCGAAGTAAGATCAACGCGTTGCATAATGTTCTATGCATACACATCAGAAACGGGAGTAATATCACTCGTTATTGTGTCGTCGTGATTACTCCGCTGGCAGTCAACTGAATTGCCCGCCGCTTCCGAGTTTTGCGCGGGGTTTCGGAAACGATGCCGATGGAAAATTGCGCGGAACAAGAATGACAGGAGCGATCGAGAAATTCGTGCGCGCGCGCTTTCTCCATGTTCCCGTTGAGAGAGCGGACAAAAATCTGCGCCCGACTGTGATTGCGTTACTTTTACGGCGATATGGATGAGAAACGTTGATTAACTATTTCGGCAATTGCCGCGTAATGAGCGGAGCAGTTTCGCAAAGTGTCGTTGAGGTAGCTGAGTGTTTCGCGAGATGCGAAAAAAATCTACAAAACGATATTAACGATAGCAACGATACGTTTCATTAGTATCGCCACCGAGCGAAATGTTTACAGAAGACAAACGTAACTACGGTATATCTGATTGCGCGTGGTGAATAAATTTATTTCCGCCAAACTGAACGTTTAATTCGAGACAAGTTGAACTTATAAATCTCACATTTGCGGACAACACGCGATTAATACGATCCTCGGATCGTTTCTTTCCCCGGATTAAATTAACCACGTTATCGTACATACTTATATAATTGCAGACGTATTACATAAAATGAGATATTCACAAACGAAAGATTATCTCTACATGTTAATTGAATCACGTTACCTTATACCGTTAATGCGTCAAGAATACACGCTGTCTAAACACCAGGCCTTTCATTATTTCGCGCTCAGATAGATCGATTATCTCTCGTTACGCAAATGATTTCTCAAATTCGCGAATGACCGATTGGTCACTTCAATCAGAAATTATTGGCAGGTTCATTAATAATCATACTCGAGATCGCTCTGACAAAAGGTATTGTTGTTAATCATTACACGTTAGAGCAGGTATTTGACGTACAATCTCGTTGATAGATTACAATTCCACCGATCCCCGGATATATCACATGCGTGCACGCCAGCCAGAAACGCAATAAATTCTCAATAAACTATATTGCTATGCTGGTATCCGGCTGTTCAACCGACATATTGACAGCCGTTTGTTTCGCTGTCTACGATCCCCTATTTTATCTCTTATCAAATTTCGAAGCCTGAAATTCCCATAATCCTCTCTTCTCTAGCGCGTTAAACATCGAATCGATGAAGTTCTGTTGAAACGATCAACCGATCGCAAGCGATTATATCGCACTGCAAATTGCGAGAGCTGCGAATTTGTTTCCTTAAGATTTCTTGAATCACCAAGTCCTCTTCTTCGATATTGAAAGATTGATCATTCGTTCGAAGAAAAGTAAATTCTCTCGAATATATTTCCTACGATCTCTTTTATCTTTAGAACAATACATTGCACAATATACCTTTACGAGTTTATGCTTCTATGTTTTTACAACTTCTATTTTACACTTTCCACGTAAAAAGCTGATAGGTCATATCGAAAGGAGGTGTAAAAAAATTATTGTAAATGTACATTTATTATTATTCCCTTGGCACATTATGTTTCCGGTTGTAAAAGCGCGATGCCTATTCGTGTCTGGCAGTGACGAAGTCCAGGGTCGTACCGCAGTTGTTTCAAAGAATTATTATCATTTCTACGACCCGGCTGGGCACACCTCTTACCGTGCGGTATCAGGACCGACCGCAGGGTACGACAAACGAATTAATGGTTAAAAGGGACCGTTTTTGCTTGCTCCGGGTGACCGTCGCTATAAAACGATCCCGTGCCTTTGGTCCTGGAAGCAGTCCATTGGTGGTTTTCGTAAAGGAAGAAACATGGCCTTTGTGAAGGTAAACTAAAGTCGATAGCACGGTATTCTGCACTGTAAGTTAATACTCCGCGAGCCGGAGGTACGTACGGAACATATTACCGCGGCGCTTTGGCGGAAATTCACGTTTACAACAGGTCGGCCGAAAGCGCGCACGCGTCGCTTTTAATTACATATTCTTACGAGCAAAACAGTAGAAAGATGTTACGTCTTTTGTGAGCGCGTTACGTTACGCTGACGTCGTAATAATTGCGTATCCCCGGAAAATATTACCAGGGAAACGCCTTTCGCCGCGGGAATGGGAAATTTTTCAGCGAAATTTAATCATTATAATGATTGAAACGAAAATGTGGGGCATTCCAACGCCATTGCGCTGTACGCGAAAATCACGACTGCCGATTATAAATTCAAACGTCTGATGATAATTATATTAAAATTATATTACACGGTAATTTTAATACTGCATTAACTATAATTACGAGAAGTATAATAACGTTAATGTTAAACCAATAATTATTACCCTTGAATAATAAATCGTTTTTGGGAAATTTCGAACGCGGAAGGTACTTGTGAAGCAAAGTGCGTTGCCCTAATTAGGAAAGGCAGCGTGAAAATAATAATTACACATTTTTAATTAAAGTTCCCAATATCCTTATGTCGTTTTATGCAACGGGCCGTAATTCTGTCGGAGGTAAAAATCACCCATCGGCGACTTAAGAAAGCGTCATTGTACGGTCGCTCTGTGGAAAAGGGCTTGCATAATGCTATATCAATCTTCATGAAACTTTCTATTTACAAAACGATGCAGTACAGATTTATTGACCCTTTGATTCGTGGCATATCGAAATAAGCTTGCCTTACGTTTCTGTTTCATGAATCCCGAATTAAATATACATCGCGTAGAAGCGAGGGAGAGAAAGAGAGAGAGAAAAAGAGAGAAACGTAATGTAAACATCGAAAATATTTTGTCTGATCAAACCGTTTCCAAGACCAACGATTCGAAGTATTTCATTCGCGAAAATGACCGGAGCTCTCTTTGATGTCCAATTCACGGGAAGCGGATAGATATTAACTTTTTACGATCCGCCGCGGCAAAGGACCACACGCGTATAACGGGAAAAATAACACGAAGGGCTCAGCATTTTCACCTGGCCGCGGGCGAAGACGATCTTCCGCGTAACCTCGCTCGGCCGGCGCGCGATCGATCCAATTTCAAGTTTCGCCGATCTCATCGAGCGAAGGGCGGGCCGCGGCTTCCATAAAACGAATCGTCGGATCGCCACGCCGCTGAACAAAGTATTACACAGTCGTGATCGTAAAGTACGAGCGCAGCCCGTTTCGGAGGTCTTTATGCGAGCGGTAAAAGCGTCTCCGCTCGGGCGTTCATATTCGGCCGAAAAAAAATAACGACCGGTTCCTTTTTCGGTAATTTCCCCGTACACGCTGTACCGATGAAAATGAATTCCGCGCCGGCAGCCTCTTCGATCAGATTTGAGGGATGAATTTTTCCAATTATTCGCACGCGGCCACCGATTTACCTTCAACGACGAACGGTATTTCGCAATGGGCGTTGTCGGTTCGCTTACACGACACTCGAATGTCCCTCCTCGCTTCGCAGGGATTGATTGCCTGCGTCGTCTTCGTCGCTGTCGTTGTTAAGGGCTTCCCCAGGATGTACGAGGAAGACGCGGTGGGTGAGTGTCTCTCGTTTAATTTATAGAGCCGGAGACCAGCGGGAAAGGGCAATTGCACGCCGACGAAAGAAATATTCATTCTGCGTTTAACAAAAAGTTTTCCGTCTCCTCTAAATACTCAATACCGTCCTGTAGATTTTCCGTACAAAAAAGAAAGAGATTTTCCGAAAAAAAAAAAAAAGTTGGATCGAGGTTGACCTGCCGATGAACACACTAAACTCGGCTTGGTTGGAGGAAGTAGGATTTCCGGCTGTGAGAACCGAATTTGACTGGTAAGAATCAGAAATTCTGCCTCCTCCAATCAAAATTCGTTTGCCTCGTCGGGTGAATTCAATCTAACTTTTTTAGCGTGCACAAGTATTGATATACGCGATATTATTTTTGTATTCCCTCGGGTTGAAAGCGATACTTGATATTCCTTTCGAGCAGTAATTGCTCGACAAATTCGGGAATACAATTTCATGGAACATTGCTCGCAGATGACGATAATGTCGAGGATAAGCAACGGGCGGCCGCAGATATAAACCGCAATGAACATGGCGGGGCTCATCACCACGCGTACTCGTTCCATCATTTTTCCGGGCCAGTGATAGGTCATCACCAGGAGGTATCGTGGAAAGATAAGCACGGACATCATCATCACGACTACAAGGCTTATCCTAAGTACAAATATTCGTATGGTGTGGACGATCACCACTCCAAGGACCAGCACGGACAAAAGGAGCACCGTGATGGTGAGTATATATAAAAATACTATTATAACGCTGATATTTGAATCTTGACATATTCCACTTGACACTTTAAAACCCGATCTCTCTTTAGCTATCGATATTATTTACTCGTTATCTCGGTGCGCTGCATGCGTACGATATTAGAATTTCTTTTTAATTTTGTCTACAATATTAGAATAATATTAGAATATTATATTATTAGTGTATAACATTAAAGTATATTATATAATATGTAACACATATATAGGATAATTATAGGTATGTAAATTAATTCGATGCTTTCACTGCGAAAAATCAAGGTTTATTTATCAAAATGGAAGATATACAATTATTTGATGAATATTTCTGAAGACTGTTATTGGCAAATGTTAATTCGAACACCGATGTATTTTCTTTCTGTTATTACAATCTCGATTCTACATATTGACACCGAGATCGGCATAAAATATCGATATAGCAACCGCGGATGTACCGAGTAACATTAATCCAGAACCAGCAAGAGAACACAACGCAACTCGATCTCACGCTCTTAATTAGAATCTCGAAGTAATTGGATACCTGCTCTTAATTAGAATTAGGAAGGAATAAGTTTGTTCCTTGCCCTGTCTTGCGGCCTATTGAATACATCCGCCACTTTTCTGGCACATTCCGTAAAAACGCGAGAATTCTTCCACGATCGCTCATATCCGCACATACGTCTGTTAAATTTAATCGTGAAGAATACAAGAAAGGGAGGAGGAAGGGAGAGGGAGAGAGAAAGAAAGAGAGGAGGAGGAGGAAGAGAGAGAATGAGAGTTTATTACGTTTAGTTCGTTGGAAAGCTCTGTGGCAAATCGAGTGAGTAAAACGCGTCGAGCTTACGGCGAAGCTATCCCGATACGGCGTGCCTGGAAAACGTGTTAACGTCTGTGTAAATTCGAATTTAATTGAAAGATGCAGGTACACAAGTTCCCATTATATCTTCATTCAGCGAGAAACACTATTCTCGCACTTCTTGTATAAGAAATAACATTTACGCGTACTAGGTGTACATAAAAATATCTTTTTTCTTATAATTATCTGCATTAAAGATATAAAACTAGATAATAAAACTAGGAGTCAATAATAACGTCGAATAAATCTCATTAGATAGTATTACATGGTGTATGAATGGTAGTAATTCCTTTCTGCTTAATTAACACACCTGAATTTTAGGCAAACACGTCGAGGGCGAATATCATATTCACGAACCAGGTGGCAATGTCAGAAGCGTGAAGTATCACGCTGGTCCTCACGGCGGATTTTACGCCGAAGTACACAATTACGGCGGGAACGACCATTCGGGTGGCTCACACGGTTAATAAATGTCGATAGCTGGCCGATTGCTGATTGAAAGATGGCATAACGAACAGCTATTAACGACTACTGACGGCTAACGAGGAAAATATAGAAATGACTGACGAAGACAACGTTATGAGTGTACCTGCATTTTGCACAAACTCGATCGTAGCCGATATATTTACTGCACATTTATCGCCACAATTCTTATCCTTGTGAATTGTAATATCGATATATTATTATATGTTTCTGACGTTTCCCCTTTTCGATGTCGCGATAACTGGGGTAACTGTAACAACATATTCTCACGTGGCAAGGAAAATGTGTTTATTGCGTATTAATAAAGAGTATTATTAGGTAATTCCCGACACCCACCAGTTTTTATTTATACACTATTCCGTTTTGAAGATTCATCATTGATTCTCAATCCTTTTATTTTTTTCTCTCTAACCCATTTCGTTCGTGTGTTCCTACATATAAATAGAAAATTTATCTATTTTTAAAAACTTTGCATTTATGAAAAAGGTAGATTCTGTGGTCTAGATCTTCTTATTAAAATATAGTTTGGACTTTTGCCTTTCAGGAAATAATTTCACGTGGCCACCACCCATCATTCCCCCGGTGGTAGGGTGGAAAATAACCTTACAAAACACACTTTTTTAATTCATCATTGCCTCACCTTCTTAATTAATTAAAAATAGTAAAAAATAAAAATTGAAAAAACAATGATGGGATATTATTGCCAAAAGGTCGAATCGTCAATAATGACAAATCCCGTTATGATATGATTCACCAGGTATACGTCAGGTGTCGCTCAAGGTGAATGTTCCGATTATTTTTGGCCGGTCGGAATTCTGATTTTAGGTTTCCTGAGTTCTGGGTCCCAATTACCCCAAAACGGTACTCGGACCTCAATATTTTTGCAGCCCGAAATGAGTTAATAACGGGGAACGTACGTGCTGTGCCGGCGCATCCCGATGTTCTTAATAATCAAAATTGGTACACGAGTAAACGTGAAAAAGTCGGGACTCGCCTCTCAATCTTCAACGTAAATCCTCCTCCGGGATTCGCTGCTCATTTTACCGCAGTCGCGTGATCCCGCTTCATCAAAATGAGCAGGATCGCTCGCTCGGTTTCTGCTGACCGGATGCAGCGAGTTGGCCGATCGCTCCCATCAGCACACCGCAACATGTTTTTATCCAATCACGTCCCCGGGCTCTAGCGTGCGCGCACCTTCGACTTCTCGAGTCAGCAACGCGACGGACCGTGGTGGTCCCCGGCTGCCGAAAAGCGGAGGAAAGGCGAAATTTCCCGGCGGCAGGTAAGCGATGGGGCGAGAGGCCGGGACGAGCCGAAATTTCGAGCTTGCTCGTCGAACGATCGCGGCAAACGGGATTGGTCGCTCTATAAGGAGATCGGTTGATCATAGTGTTACTGACCCGAACCCTGCCAATTTTGTTACCAATTTCGTCGCCAATTTTGTCGCCAATCTCGTCGCCAGTTTCTAACGCGGATAATTGCATCGCGCAAACGCTCCGACAATTTCTATTAAGTTCTCTTAGCAGAGGTTATGGTTGCGTTTATATGTGTATGTATGTATGTACGTGTCTCTATGTGTCTGTGGGCGGTTTGGCCTCCGTCGGGATAGAAACGCTGAATTTCCCCGAGCAAACTGCCAGAGCTGACTGGTGGAATAATATTGGCAAGTTGGCAATCGTTGGCCTTGATTTCGTCCGACGAAACCGGCTCGTTATCGTCGCTGTCGCTGGTACCGAGAGAGAAGCCGAACGATACTACCGTGGCCGTGAAAGCATCTTTTGTTCGAATCGGACGAGTGGGAAATTCACTTGATCTCGCGAGCGTTAAAGTTAATAAAACGATTGACAAAAGTGCATCGATGTCACTCGGCGCCGCAACGTGCTGCACATACAAGTGCGCGCGAGCGCACACGACTACATGCAGCCACCTTCCGCGTACGAGTGCGCGTCGTGGCGCGCAGCGCGGATCGATACAGCCGTTACTAAAGCAAATGGACGGATTACGAGTCGACTGCGTGAAACAACCTCTTTCTCGGGCACGAGCCACCTCCAGGGGCGGTTATTGCAGGCCTGACCTAGTCGATGCATACGGTCTCGCGGGACGTTCCGCAAGAGAGGATGCGTCACCGCCCGAGGCGGCACCGCGAGTGCGAGAGTGCGCTTAGCGAGTCGGGAAAATTACAGGTCGATTATTTCGCGGCTACGTACACGGCCCCGAGCTCGATTTCGTTTAACCAACGTTTTACGCGCGCACGCGAGCCGTGCGAAATGTCCCTTTGCTTATCCGCGTGGTCGAAAGACTCGAAATTACTCGGCTGGAAATTTCAAACGGACGCTGGACAGGCCACTTTTCCTTATTTTTATCTAGGCCCTGCACAGAAATGCAACGCTCGTGCAATTTGGTTTTGTAAAACTATCACGCCCTGGCGGGGCCCTTACGAGCCGCAGGATATTTTAAGGGCATCCACATCAGTGCCTATTCAGGACCTATTTATGAAATTTCATTCAGGAGTTGCCTCTCTAGGCTATATGTAGGCCCGACGAAGGCAGGCGTATTTCGCGGCATGCCTACATAGAGGGCCTACAGACTTGGGGCGACAATTAATTTCTACCTGAGCAATCGCTGTGAATCCCAAAAGCTCGACGTTCGTTTGACAAGTCACATCGGAAATGCTCGGCGAGGCGTTTCGCGCTTTGTCTTTTCGGCGACCGCGGAGTTACGGGCGAGAAGGTTAAATCTCTGGTATCAAGCGTATCGCGCATCGAATCGGATTTCATCGCGATATGCGTTACACGCGCGTAACATTTGTAACATAAACAGACATTATTGCGACGGGATCGAATGACTATAACGCGAGTGCTGTGAAACGTTTCGCGGGGATAAAATTAATTGTCGTGATTTTAAGGATCTCGAAATGACGCTCAAATGAATAGCCGTCGCTCCTGGCAATTTCATTATCAACGATAATTATTGCCGTTTCCATCGCCAAGTAATTACTATACAACACGCAACGTCAAGATTAATTTGAGCGACGTGGAAATCGTGGCTAATGATTAATAGTTCTCAATAACACTCTCAAGAATCTTTATCCGAGCGAAAATCTACAAGACTAATCGAGATTCAGAAAACTTTCGGTTTTCCTGAGGTACAACGTGCGAAATATCAATATTCCTTAAAATTGTATGAATTAAATATTTCTTAAAATTGTATAAATTAATTATTTTATGACATAAAAGACGTTAGAAGCCACATTTGCAGATGACGCTTAAATTCATTGAATTTTTAATAAAATTGCGAAACGTTTCGACCTTACTTTAGATCCACTTCATAACACAAACAAATTATATCATCAATTCAGTCGTCCCCGAGACACATAAATTGACGATGAGCCAAATCATTTTTGACGGAAAGTCATTCGGAATTGATTGATCCTTTCATTTTGATCTCAACTAGTCATCATCAATTGTGAATCACCAAACGAAAATTAACTGAAAATATACACTAATAGTTAAAACTTAAAGTAATATTAAATAATATAATCAAAGTATTAAAACTGATTGGTGTGACTAAAGTGCAAAGTGTGTCGGAAACCGATCGAAAATAAAAATGGTCTTGTGACGAACACCACGATGTTATTGACGAATATATGTTATTATGTTATTATCATGTTGTATTATTGACTAATGAGTGTCATTTGGTAATTAACCCTTTTAACTCGAGGGCTCCGGAGCGGAGCCATTTAAAATTTGTCTTCAAACTCAAATGCAAATAGCAAGAGCGGAATATCCTATACACAATAGTTTTTACGATTTGTCTTTGTCCTTATGTTATGAACTGAAAGTTATTTGCATTGTCTCCATAGCGGAGCCCTCGAGTTTGAAGACTTTTAAATGGCTCCGCCGCTCCGGAGCCCTCGAGTGCAAAGGATTAATTATTATTATAATTATTTATCAAATAATACTCATTCGTCAATAACATAATACTTATAGTCTAAAGCTGGTATAAAAAATAAGGCAGAAAACAATAGAAGTCAATGTCGATGGGTTATAAAAATTCCACGACTGGAAAATAAATATTGTGAAATATATCAATGTTCTATTGTATGTTTAGGATGTTAGATTGATTTCTTATATGTATTGCTTCCGAAATACATTTTTTGTGGAAAAGTCGTTTATACAATTGATAATTATTTATTGATATTTTAGGAAATCCTTCCCTTTCTTTTACGGAAACGCCTACGGTCTCGCTTGTGTATACATGGAAACCAGTTATGTAAACATAAAATTATAATAAAATTAGAATTTCCTCAATATATAAGGATTTTCAACACAGAAAGTGTTCGTTTATTTTACATCTTGAGTGGCTCATCGTCGTCGTATTCAGATATTGCCGTCACGCTTTGTACTCTGCGTTACGATCCTCAATAAAAGTCAACTCACCGTTTCGAGAGACTTTTGGAAAAAAGTCTTCCGTGACGCAATCAATGGAGCGAAATCGATTGTTGCTTCAGTGAAACGGCTTTCGGGCATTCACATGCGTGGCGTTCGCTATAACGACGTTTCATCGCACAGGACTGGTCGATCTTATGCATAGGAAAGCGATTGGCCTACAACGTTTTTGTTAGTCGCAGGAACTGTTTTCGTACGTCCGCTAAATAACGGTGGCGAAATTCCCCCGGCAAAAATGAAGATTGACGCTATATAAACCCTCGTCGATATCGGCGAGTGTATCATTTAAGTGAACAGTGAATATCGAAAACATGACCACGAAGGTTCGTATTTGGAAAAATGCTTCATTATATCGGATGCTGATTCATCATTAATCGCCCCGATTATTGCAGTCTGCAACCGTCATTTCTGGCGGCGTGATATTTAACGTACCATAAAAATCCGCGACTGAGAGAATAAAATGTTTCGCGCGATTTTCAATAAATGTTAAAGAGTTACGATGAATCTTTGCGAATTTTCATCGGGATAAAACATTCAATTCGCAAAGTGCCTGGTATTTGATCGAATTTACAATAAAATTATCTCAAATACCATTGCCACATTAGTTCCCTGTCGAATCCATTAATGAAATTCGTTTATCGCGAGGCAAGTAAGAGACTCCACTTATAATCGACAGTAGGGAATCGTTGTATTCTAAGATACTAAAATTTGTTCCGCGCACACCGTACGAAAATATATGTAAATGACAAGCATTTGTCGGCAGCTCGTCCCACTATTGGCCGTATTGGTCCTCGTAGAGATCCAAAGTGGATTGGCAGGACACGCTCACAGCTTTGCGCATTTTCACGGACCGGTCGAAGGACACGGACGCGAAATAGTTGTTCACGATAAGCACGGCCATCAGCACGTGGACTACCTTGCGCATCCTAAGTACGAATTCGCATACGGGGTCGAGGATCATCACACTGGAGATTACCACGGACAGAAAGAACACAGAGACGGTAAAGTCTCCACGCAAAATATTGAAAATAGCGAATTACCGAAAAATATGATTTGAAAATGCGACTAATATTATCGATGTTGCAAAATCATTTAATAATTGTGGTTTTACATTGCTGGGATCACGGATTAAAATTAACTTGTTCGCACTACCGTAAATTTCCTAATCGATAATATTTGGTTTTTCTGTGTCAATTGAACGACGCATATGTCTAAAAAACATTTCAAGATGCTTTAATGTCATCCGAGTGGATGCATGTTGCTGTTGTACAGCAAGTTGTACGCTGACGCGTACAGGTCTTATTGCTATGTTTAAACTGGATCTATCTGAACAGCGACTTAAGTTTCGTGAAATATTCAACACATCGAATTGATTAAAATTTATGTAACCGCGCAAAGTGCTGTTGAATTTTTTATGATGGCTGCGCAATAGCGCGGAAAATGCCGCGCGGTCTAAATATTAGTGAAGTCCCTGGGAATTTCGATCAAAGTTTGTTTGGGTGCAAACCAGACGTTTGCATGCAAAAGATATTCCAAAGCGCAACTCCGAATCGCAAAAAGCCGGGCGGAAAGTCGCGTTAAACTTGTCGACACGGCTTTTCTCTCTCTCTCTCTCTCGGCCGTTATTTTTGCATTTAACGATGCCCGATGGCGATGTCGTAGTTAAACGTTATAAATGATGGGGTTAGATTACACGACAGTACGCTTTAGTGCGCTCCATTTTAATTAAACAGCGCGGCGGTACCTATATTGACGTAACATAATATGTGGGCGGCGCATGCATTACGGTAATATCGATGACACATCCGCGTATCTAATTTTGTACAATTAATGCACATTTGCGGACGTTCGCTGTAACGGCCAGTGCGTTGTTTGTCGCCGCGCTCACATTACCACACAAGCGCGCTTTTTCGTTTTCAGGAGAAAAAGTTGTCGGCGAATACACCGTCAAAGAGCCGGGCGGTAATGTCAGAATCGTGAATTACCACGCCGATCCGCACGGAGGATTTTTTGCTCACGTCCGCAACTCCGATGGCAATAATCATCACGATGGCACATACGACGGTCGCGAGCATGAACGCTACTGAACGCTTTGCGAAATTTTAATTACGTTAATTACGCACGACAACAGGATGTTTGTTCCAAGCTGTTGCCCACCCCTTCTGTTATAATGATTGTAAATAAATATAGTTCGCTCACTCTTTCTAATTTACAATGCATTTCGCTTTTGTTTCCGTCTAATTTCGAGTTTTCCCACATCTGCGAAATTGCGGGAAAACGAGAAGCTGCACTAAGGATGCAACCTGTACTTGCATTATCTGTGCTCGAGAGTGGCATATAGCACGTAGAAATTTGTATCGTGGAAAGTAATGCAAACTTGCTCATTTGCGGAAATGCCGGTATGCTTTCTGTACGAAACTCGTTTTGAAGCATTTCGAAGAAACATTCGGTTCGAGGAAGCTCTTCCTTCTGAAAGTTATCATATTGCCGTACGTACATGTGCATATACGAAGTTTCCCAGAAGTACCGCATTGTCTTTCAGTAATAGATCCCGAGGAAAATTCCAAGTTAACGTTTTCTCCACAAAATTCCAACGTAATACGTCAATTGTAGCGATCTTCACGAACATTAAAATGATCACAATATCCTTACAAGTTCTCAAACTGAATTAAAAGCAATTTGTTTCCTCCTGAAAAGCAATATTGGCAGAAGTGCACTCTTCTTATCATTCTCATTCGATTCGGTAGATTTTCGTAGATTTAGTAAAATTAGACGGTTATCAACACAGCTACATAGTGTTCCTGCATTACTCCCGGAATAGTTACTAGATTGCATTTCATACTTCCATCGAACGTTATTACGACTTCGCTTATGTAATCGAAAGCGTTATTACTTAGGGAATGACGATCGCAACTCGGAAGTGTAGGCAGGACAAATAAATGGACAGATTGCGTGTACATAGGTCTAGCCCAATGAGCGAGTGAGACGTTCTAAGCTTCTACGAACATATTGGGTCACGTATTGAGAGCCAGCACGATCGCTATCGCGCGAATAGACCAGCAGAAATTGAATTGCACTTGCGGAAGCTACACCGGGCGCCGAATGGCGTGTAATTTTCCATTATCGCATTAGAAGGCACAAGCTGTAGAAATGACTCAAATAATGCGAAAGATCCATGGCTGACGACTTGCGGGTTTCGTCCCTCAACGAGGGAAGTTTCGCTGTTTACATTAAATTAGCGAACGTTCACGGAAGAAAAGTTTGCGGGAGAGAGCGATCTGTGTGATACTTTAATCCAGCAGCTGTGCGTTTGATATAAACCTTTGATAGCGGATAATTCGTTAATTCCACCGCCGGCAATTTTCCCCACGAATATCCCGTGATTACTTGGAATCTTTTTGGGGACGCGTCTCACGACGTACGCGTTGTGTTTGCGATATCAGCTCGGAGGAGCCGCTCGGAATCGCTGTATCTAAAGAGTGTAAATGGTTAACGGAATAACGGCCCGGTAAATATTTGCGCGCGAGCGTAGGCATATCCACGATGTAATTTCAGCCCCGCTCGTCGGAAGTTCCGATTAAAAGGATGAAATTAAGACGCCGACTCCTTTGAGTCAAAAGAGACGCGCGCTGCACCGCCGAGCGCTCCTCATCCCGAAAGACGAGACTAAGCTTAAATGTCGACGACGCCCATCATCGGGGGTTTGTAGCTGCTCGTGACTGCTCGTCAGACGACGTATTAATTTTTCATGGCGCATCTAAGATGCGAACGAAATTTAACCCCGGTGCATGCACCATTGACTCTCAAAGCCGAGTGTGTCATATTTCGTATACATCGAGGGCATAAATACGTAAAACGATTCCGGGCGTGGTGAGACATGAACTAACGTTCGTTTATAAATGAACAATAACAACGTTAATCACGATGGTTGGCCTTCGTCGTTGAAACCTACCAACGGGAGAGAGAGAGAGAGAGAAGGGGGGGGGGCATGTCGAATATAATAATCAACGTGCATGTCGTGCCGCGCGCGCGCGCGCCCCGCAATTCGATACTTTCGGTCGAGCAATTCCACTAACTCTGCGGTCGTAATTTCGCGCAAAAATCCAACCCGGAATAAATCATCGCGAATGCACGGCGTACTCGAGCCCTGTATATTACGCGAATAATCATGATTGATAACAGGGGAGGAAGAAAACTGCGAGATATGATATATGAACAGGGAAAACATACAGCGCGCACGTGGTTTCAATGATTCCATTTATGTGAACGATAATACATCCGGTCTCCGTGTATCGAGGCTTTCTTGTCCCCCCCCCCCTCTCTCTGTTTCTTTTCTTTTCCTTTTTTCTTCTCTTTATCTCCTTTTTTTTTTATAATTCACTACCACCCGCTCACGAGCGCAGTTACAAAAGGGCTTCCTTCGGCTAGCCCTTATTCACGGAAGTGATAAATGAAATCTCGCGCGCCCGCCTCTCCGCCCAACGCAGAAAAACAGACAATTCCGAAACTACTTCTTCCCCAACTCCGCGAAGAGGGTAATTTTATCAGCGTGTGTTATTCCGGTCAGTACCGCCTCTCTCCCTTCCCTTCCCATCGCGATTTCTCAAAGTCCTGACGCCGCCTTGCGAACACCAACTAATCCGCAAGGATCGCCCGCCGAGCGCATTGTTCGGGTCTTGCGAGCTCCTCCGGATGAGAGCAGCGTCGGTGGAGATCAGTCAGAACGGAGGAACATTTGAACTTCTAATTTCCCAAATATCGGGAGAAATGTCGAGTATTTTAATTTCGCATCAGTGCTCGTAATTTACTTAAAATCGATCGTTTTACTTACGTGCACTGACAAAAATCTCACTAAAATTACGGCCACTTCCGGTTTCAATTATATCTATCCATCTCCTATTGTATTATCTATATATTTTCTTCTGCTTTAATTAAAACAAATAGTACACAGAGGAAAGATTTTCTTTGAACTTAATAAAATTAATTCCTCACTAACTGTGGCAAACTTTGCAAAATGATACATGATTTTTCCACTCGGTTTCACCTGTTCTACCTGTACACCGCAGATCCCGAAAAAATTATCCGAAACTCTATACGTAAGCCTTTGTAATGAGGGAAGCAGCGCGATTAAATGAATTCATAATATAATATGTTATTATAATACTAAAGTTATAAGCGCATGCTTTGTGCCGCGTTCGAGGAACTTGAAGGATTTAACATTAATGCAAAGTGCGCATATTCTTACATCCCGTATTAACAAGGTTTTTAGTTGGACCCCGGACGTCCGGTCACGACACCCTGCCGAGCGTAGTCACATTCAGGCGGTCGTCACGTCAGGGGACGGGGTGAGTTGTCGGGAACAGGCGGTGGCAATAATGCGAGATGGACGTGATAGGGTGCAATCGATTTTCTCGATCTCGGGGGGAATGGAGTCCTTATTATTCCGACGGGCAAGGCGCTTCCAAGGTGGCGTTGTTATTCGACTCCAGCCGGCGTGGCTCATTCCCTCGAAGCCGCAGCCGTATACCCCTTCCTGCCCCTTATTTCCTTAGCCTACACTTCACGGCCGTAAAAATCTAATTCATCCTAGAACGCTGGACAGAGATAAGAGTGTCCCGGAAACGGCATCCCGGCCGTACGGCATAATAAACTGCCGCTCGCGTCGAATTAAGCCACCACGAAAGAAAGCTCGACGATCGAAAGTCGTTGCTGAAAGAACGTATTCGCCGACTTTTGTACGCCGCAACTTATGCACACACAGTTTTATCCCACGCGCTTTCCCAGCCATCGTCAAGATTTCGCACAGTGCAATTATTTCGACCTGTGATATGTTAAAGCAGATAAGCCGGAACATGCGAGTCGCTCTGCACAGTTCAGTTGTAGCGATATTTGTGTAACAGAGTAAAACTTGAAGCATGCATTATCTGGAATATTATCGGCCGAATTACACTGCAATCGCCCAAGAATCGGTGGCATGTGCATCGATTAAATCGAACGGCGGTTTCGTGCATTATTCTCGGATCGCAGCGTCCCAATAAGGGCGAAAAATAAAATTTATTTAACCACGGGAAGAACCGATCCGGTTACGTAAAACGAGATTTTAGCTCAGCAATTCGATAAAGATTATTTCGCCGAGTTGTTGCCATGTTGTTCAATCAAACTTCATTACGGTAAAATAATAATTGCCGACTGTACGGTCCGATCACCCGATTAAGCGAGCAATAATTCCGCGAGAAATCAACCGAGCGAATGATTTCTTAACTGCAAACAGAGCGGTCACGCGACAAAATTCGGCGTTGTTTCATCTCGGGGATTTGCATCGAGAATGCCGGATTGTCCCGTAACGATGCATCTTGATCCCCGTCCGAAGATCGGCCGATTATCGTTGACGCCGAGGAGAGGAGCTGTTATCGCGTTTCAAATCACCGTCATCTAGAAGTGAGCCCGGCCGACCGCTGGGGGGAAGAGTTTCACGGTTCGCCGGCTTAAAGTGCTCTCACAAAAAGACCATTATAAATTCCATTAATACTTGCCGGGCATTCGGGCCAAGCTGGGAGTTTAATTATCCCGTGGGCAGGCTCCTCCATCCGCGCCGCTGAGTAAAGGGAGACGGTACGCTGAATTAAGTAAGACTCGATAAAACGATCGTCAAGAATTAACAGGTCAGCTCGCGGGTTTCCCGATGGAAGTTACTTTTCAATTTACGACATATTACCCGAGCTTCCTCGAACGTCGCCCGTACGTTCGGCTAATTGGAAGTCATAGATCGCGGGCGCGCAGCTCCGCCGGCCTTTCAGATTTACAACCGTCGACATTTATTTTCCTTTTCACGTTTTCCCTTTTCCCCATGACCGTAGAGCGGACGTCTCATGACATCAATTAGTTCTTCGTTAACGGCTGCCGGAGTCGGCTTCCTGTAGCTCTGCGTAAAATTCTTACGCAAAATTTATTCGCATAATTTCAACTGCGCGCCGGTCGGCCGATGCTAAAGACTTTTCGTACTTTTATAAATGGTGCAATAATTCAAATGCAAATAGCGCGGCAAATTGGAAACTTCTTGTAAATATTCTTGCAAGCTGCGTGCAAT